CCAGAGTTCGCCAAGCCCGCACATTCTCTAGACTGGTCCACCCTTTTCTTAGAGTTCCTCTTGAGAGCCTGGCAAGAGAGGGCACTAGCGAAGCAAAGTCTCGTGCTTGCACAGATGGCTGCGTCAGTCCGCTTGCTGCTGAGACGAATGCACGGATGAATTTGATGCGAATTGACTTATGGTGAACATTCCCCGCAGTGTGTCTGCTGGGCCTCAGGCTCGCTGTTGCAGGTGCTTAGATCCCGCAGAGGAGCAGTGCAACGCGTCCGCGAACGGTTCGGAGCTCGGGTGCGCGCTCGGCTGCTCGGCAAAGTGTCACAGCTGACGGAAGGAGCCATGCACCACGCCAAGCAGAAACCCCACTAAACAAGAAACTTGGCCACCTACATCTCTTATTTTAAGGAGGTTGGGGGAGCAGCAAATCAGAGGTTGCCCCAATCGTTGGGGGCCGCTCATTCCTTAGTTTGGAAGGCATGCAGCTTGTTGGATGCTCTTGTGTTGTCCAACTGACATAGCCCCTGCACTTCTTTATCAATTGTTTCCTGTTCAATGATTGCTTTAAGCTAAGTCTCCCACACCTTTGTTGAGGTTACGAGGGGCCCCTTTGCGCCATCTGCGCCGACAGATACCGCAGCCAGGGCCGGCGCTGCAAGAAGTGCGAGGACAGGGTTGGTATCAGGTTAAAAAACACGGTTTTTAAAGCAGTCCGTTTGAAAACAAGCCGTGCAGTTTGATGATTACGTCTGCACCGTCAAACTTCGAGCGCGGTACCCCGAACGCCAGAATGCGATGCGAGTCGAGGAAGGCTACGAAGCGGCCCGGTGGCCCCTCGCGCTCGCTGCGGCCACAGCGGCGGCTGGAGGCTGCGCCTTTTTCGTCTGGTGGAGGTGCGCAGACTGGATCATGCAAATATAAGCCAACATGACATGCCTGCGAACTGCCTGCATCGTCATAGTGACCATGATCACAGCATGATCACCAGAGCCATGCATCATCGGGCGTCTTCGGGCGCTGCACGAGCCCTGACCAGCTGAGGAGCCGCACAGCAGATGTCCCGGCAGAAGCAATTCCAGCGACTCCCACACCGTACGCTGCATCCCGGCAGCCAATTCAATAAGGGGTGTCCAGAGCTGACAGGGATGACGAATCAGCCTTACTGCTTGTGATGCTGATTTCGAGAACGACTGTAACAGTCTGTGGCAGCTATCATTGGGCAGGGAATGCAAGTTTGAGCAACCCAAGACGTTACCCCTGCAGTCCGTGCTTGAGGCTCTCTGGCCGCTGCTGTTGGCGCAAGGCCCCGTGCTGCTGCAATTTCTTCAGCTCTGGGGCGTGCTCGTGGCCCTCAGCAAGAAGAGCACTGGGGAGACCACGGCGCAGACCTGGGACCAGGCCGCCCTTCCCGTTTGATGCCGAATTGGGGCCAGATAGTCATTACTTCCAGCCATGGTAGGGCCAAAAAGTCAGTAGTCCGACTTACAACCAGGGTAAACGTAATCGGTCCCGGATTGTCAAGTCTGTGAGAATGACTCCAGGAGTATGTTCAGTGGCTGCAGCTGACGGCGGGTGGGCTCCGGGACGCTTTGAGCTTGGAATGCGAGTACGGAAGGCCGATGGGCAACAGTTCTTGGCAGCAAATTTTTCTCAGAACCCCATCTCGATTTTTGAAAATCCCTTTACGGCGCCAGGAACGCCCGCCTGGCTTGTGCTGTGCTGGGTCCCGTGCTGCCCTTGCTGCTTTTGGCCGCCTGCGCCATCCTGGAAGCCGTTTTGCGAGGCCGAGGTGGGCCATGCAACTATTGCTGTAATCGCAGTCCCCATTGTGAGGTTATACTATCACGACTTACCATTACGCTTACTCCCATTTTGGCTCTTTCGATGGCTTTATCTCAGTATTGCTATCATCAACACTCGAATAGCCATTACTAGTTTACGAGTGCTAGTACCAGCACCAAAACTGGTAGCTGCTAAGACGCAGCACTTTTCGTACGACGGCGGCGACTCCTAAATCTAGCTAAGCCCACTGAGACTCCGAATATATTGTCCGTCTGCAGAGAAGTCTCGCGAGCGGCCGCTACAGTAGAATCGTTAGATGGGTTGGAAGTCTGGAAGCGTTGGTACGTCGCTAGAAAGACGGGATAAGCAAGGTCGCGATGTCTGTCGCCAGGTGTAAGTGTGGCACTGCAAGTGTTGTCGCTGGCCTTCATTGGTGGAGCCTCGAGCTGTGCAGGGCTGCTGCGGTGTCAGGAGCTCGATGGAGGCAATCAAGCCCAAACTTTATGTCATAAGGCCATATAGGGTTTAGGATATGAGGTCTGAGGTTCTGCTGTACCTAGCGCAGGTGGAGAGCCACTGGGGGAGGAACATGCCTTCCGCTCCTTGCTGCCACACCTGAAGTGCTCGGAAGCACCCTGGGCCGCGGCCTCAAGTCGATGCGACACCTCTGTTTTTCCATCACTTTCTAAAACCATCGATTTCCATCCAGGTGGCGGCAATCGGCTGGGGATGCGCCGTCGGCTACGGCATTTTCGTCCCAGCGTGCATGGTCGGCTTGATGGCCAAACAGCAATGGAGTCTTTCAGCAAGCCGACGCACCGCACACTTATCATCCGAGCAGGGGGAGACCACAAAACTCCGGATGGTCCCGCTGCAGGCTAATTCCGAGGACGCCGGCCAACCACCCGTAACCCTAGTCATCCTAAATCCCAACCTTAAGCCCAGAACCTTCAACCCTAAACCCTCGGCAGGAATCGAAGGAGATGAGTTCTCGAGTGCAGTTGGCGGGGGCGGTTGCCTACTGTGCCGTCTTCTTTCGCGGCTCCGTGCAGATAAAGTCTGCGGATGGCTGCCTGCAGCTCGGCACAGAGAGTTCGGTCTTTTTTCTAACGCAATTTTCATGATAATGGTGGTGTCTGTTTGGCTGTGCCGAGGGTTCTCCAGCCTGGGGCTGGGCGCAGCGCCAGCGACGAGGTGGAGTTTGATGCCACCTGGCAGCCTCGTGGGATCTGATCTGGAAAACTCAAACTTCAGAGTCGATTTCTGCTTGTTGGGTCTGTCTAGGCCTAGATTATCTATACTTACCATCTCTTGAGGAGCAGCGGTTTTGAGGGTTTGGGAGCTCCGGGTTTCAGGGGCTGACGGTTTGGGTTCCGTGTGGTTCTATGCAGGGCTGTGAACCCTAGCCAAAAAGCAAGGCCCACCGAGTGCCCGCGTGGGTAGCTTGCAGGCGGACAACATCCTCTCCATGGCCCTTGACAACAAAGCGGATGCCGATCTGCAGCGGTGGCAGGCAGTCACCAGGTGCCAGGGTTGGGGGATACTCCACTCCTGCATGTTGCAACTTCTCTCTGAGGCATGTGATCCCCATATGAGTTGATGGTTACGAGCTGGGCTGTACACTGCATGCCCCAAGCCATCCAAAACCCAGTAGGTGTGAGTCGGACTCAAAGCCCCGTTAGACTCTAGACACGGACTTTCCAGACTTGGCTGTTTGCAAGAAACCTATGCACGCCGCAAGGATGCTGAAGGAGCGCTGCATCATCGAAGAAGCGGCGCCGTCCGACAGATGCCTGGCAGAACTTGCCTAGAGTTGGAGCCTAAGTTGGAGCTAGGCTTGGGGACATGTGGTTTGTAGGTGTGCACAGACCTTTTTTTTTTTTTTTAAAGTGGGCTTTGAAGGCAGTCGCTTCCAGCATAGACCCGGAGCCATGCTAGGCATGAACAAGGGTCACTTCAGAGCGGAACTGGGGTGTTGTCTATCGTGTGCAGCATTCTTTGTAGTTTGGGACCTTAGGGTATTTGCAAAGGGCTGCATTGTGCATCGCACCAGCGACGCATCCCGTGACTGCTGGCCAAGGAGTCTTGGCTGGTGCAAAGGAGCTCTTCTTCAAATATGCGCCTTGCTTCAAGATCTCCAGAGTAGCTTAGATCTGAAATATTCGGAGTTCTGGGGCATGTTCAAAAAGGACCCTGAGATGTAAGACAGCGGACTCCTTTTCAGTCTTTTACAAGTTTGGGCACGTCTGTGCCAAGAAAGACACGTCGGTCTGGCACGGAGTGCAGTAGAAATTGCCCGTACCTTGGACTGTCGTCCCCGAAGCCTTCACACAGGAGCCCGAATCACTAGGAACGCACGTCTGTGATTGTCGTCCTGCGGATATGAAGAATTTGCTTGAGCTGACCGGAGCTGTTTTTGTGGTCGTTCTGGGCTGAAGTCAGTGCCTGCCTGCCCAACAAGCAGGTCTTCCGAGAGAAGTACAGACAGAGCATGTCCCCCCGACGCGCCAGTCGTTTTGGGGCATGAAGAGACAGCTGCTTCATATGTTGCTTACCCGTTTAAGTCAGGCTGTGGCTGTTTAAAGGAAGGTACGTGCTTGAGACCACGGTTAGCCTACTCCGTAACCGCTTGGGGCTGAAGCTATCTGACAACTAGAGTGACGAACCTCCAGAACCACCTTCAGCCCTGAACCGCAAACTCCAAGGCCAATTGTCAGAGCATTTGGGTCGAGGTTGCGCTGAAGCTGGTGGTGGTGGGCATCGTCGCAGCGGCTCGCCACAGCTTTGGCTCTGGGATCGTGCTTAGAGTCTAACGTTTCCTTCAAGGGATTATCCTTCGGTGATTCCTGAGCTTCACCAGCAGGTTGATTGAAATTCACTTGGGCGGCTTCAAGTCGAAGCTATTAGAGCGCCTTGAAGACGCATATCCGCCCGAAAATGTCCGAGGCGGTGAACTCTTTCCAGCTCATGTTCACTCTGAGCTTCACCCTGGGGACCAGCATCGTTCTCGGCACCCTCAAGCCCTACAGGCAGCGCCAGGCAGGGCTTCCGGAACGACTCGTTTGGTAACGCTTACGTCTTGTTCCCTCTTGTTCAAGCATGTTCCAACCTGGACGGAAGCTGCTTCGTCAGGAAACCGGGGGTGGGCGTAGCAGGGGCTTTGCACGGGCGTGTGGCTCTGAGCTCGAGTCCGATCTTGGAATCGAGGGCTTATTAGGTGTCGGTCCCAGGGCTATTACATGATTACTGTACTTCCTCCCAAAACCCTGTTCGCCTATTCGGTGGTGGTGGTGGCGTGGCCTGCCCTGCAGGTCAACGACTTGCAGTGCTTCTGCTTCCTATGCGGCTTGTCAGAGGAAGGCTCCCGGGGTTTCAAGCCCGTCGGCTTAGGCTGCCAAATTCTGGGGTTTTCATGGGGTCCTTCCAGGAATTCGGATCCTTTGGCCGCCCAGGCAAGGCTCCTTCCAGAAGGCCTGCCAGCCAGAATTGGCTATCCCATCTGGGCAGGGAGCATCCTAAAGGCCCCGAGAACAGAGCAGGCCTTCTAACTATACTAACCGTGGGTATGATAAATACCCCAAGACCCTATTTTGATGATTAAGGCTCCAAGAGTGCAGGCCATCAAAGTGGTGCCTTGTGAAGCTTGCCAGAACTGCAGGGACTGGCCTTAAAGAGCTCCTAAACTGTAAACCCTGAACGCTAACCCTGAACCCAAAACCCCTAAACCCCCAAGAGCCCTAAAGTCCGAATCCCTGTTGCCGAGGTCTCTCGGTGGCCGCTGGGGGTTTCGCCTTCGACCTCCTTTGGCTCACCCGGGCGGCGCTGGTGGCGCCCGTGGTCACGGCCGCCACGCAGACCCTGCGCCCAGGCCATCACCGGGGGGCCTCTTTGGGATCTTTGGGGGGAGGGGGGCTGCTCCTAGGCTAGGGTCCTAGAAATATGACGTCACAATGTAGAATGCAATGTGATACAACGTAATGCAGCAAAGCATAACATCACATTCTACAATTTAATGTATAGCATTGTATTGGGGCTTTGGCAGGGAGTTTCACGCACCTCAGGGTGCCGGAAGTTTGAGAGCTGTGGGCGCTGAGATCGTCGCTTACGAATTTCAGAACTGGGCTCCGTGGCTTTGCGACTTGCGAGGCCTCTCGTGAAGCAGCGCATCTGGTGGTAAAATTTGGCTTGGTTTGCGGATTAGGGTTCTGGTGCCGTAGCGGAAGAGGTACAGGGACACCAAGTCCGGCAATGCTGCCATGAAAGCCATCTCGAACCCACGCCCTAGACCCTAAACCCTAACCTTAAGCCGCCTAAACCCCAAAACCTCAACTCCAACCCAAAAACCAAAAGCCCAAGCCCCATTCAGATTGCCGCGAGTCCCTCTCCCTGCGCCTCTTCGAGGTGCCAAAAAACTTACGCTCTCTTTTGGTTGGATCTTCGGGGCTTAAATCCTAAGGCTTAGGGCTTAAGGTTTATTTATCGGCTTTAGGGTTCTCCGTTCTAAACCCTAAACCGCTAAACCCTAAACCCTCAAACTCTAAAGCGCTCAAGCCCTCAGTTCTTTGCTGAGCTTGAGAGGAGAGGTTTCGGGGTCTGGGTTTGACATTCGCGGGTGCAGTTGATCGTGACTCTGCCAAGGCATTCTAGTACATATCATTGCATGTTACAGTACATTACGTTTAGAATATCAGTATGTCATAGTATATGAAAGTATATCACAGTATATTCTAGCATATTGTAATATAACTACGTTGACCCCCCGACATACCATGAACCCTTCGACGCTGCGATAGACAGAGCTCCCAAGCGTTGCGCTTCTCGACATCCCCAAGATCCTCCGCTTCCGCTTCACACCGCTCCCCACGGTCTTTGGAGCCCGTTTTGGCACAGGGTGCGCAGTTTCTTACAGTGTGTAGTGATTCTAGTCTATGAGAATAAATTGTAGTATACGAGAACTATAGTGATAGTATATTAGAGTATATCATCGTATCTTATCTTATCGTATATTTAGAGTGTATGAGAGTATATTATGGGATATTGTAGTTCTTGTATGCTGCAGATCCCCAAATAGCTTCATTTGTGTGGAAAACAGACCCTAAATCCTCAACCAAACCCGTCCCCAAACCCTTAAACCCTGAACCCTTAAACCCTCAAGCCCCAAGCACGAAACTTGACAGGCTGCCAGCGCGCAGTGGCCGGACTTGCAGCAAGGAGGCGCTGTGCAGCTCAACGTGGAGACGTTGAGCTTCATCTGAGCACGAGTCCAGCGGAGGATCGTATTCAAGCTCAAGGAGTGTGGTAGGTGGCTCTTGCGTATGTCCTGAGTCACTGCTTCTTTCAGAATCTCGCCGGTCATGCAGGACTGCCTTTTAAAGACCTATTCTCACTCCTTCGCTTGAACACTCCTTCGCTTGAAACTGACTTGAAACTGTATAACTCGCTGGAGCGGTTCACGTTCCTGGCTGTGCGAGGCACCGAGACAAAAGAAACGTTGTCTAACTCTCCAGCCTAATATAGAGGCCTGAGTAGTCATCAGTATCATTAGTCCTTTTCGCTTGCTCGTCAAGGCTATAGTATATGATATATGATATATGATATATATATATATATGTATATATATATATATGATATGATATAGGACAAGAGACATACTATATGAGATATAATACATAAGCTCCTTGTCAGGTCTCTTTTGCTTGCAGCAGGGACTTTGCGAGTCTGCTCGCCGAGTGGCTGATTTCCTCTGTCCACTTGTCGCCTGGGCGCTCCGCAGTCTATTGCCGTTTCACCTCTTGAATTCATTGTGTTTTCGCTACGTTCTCGACAGGACTCTGCGGCGCCTGGAAACAAGCTATTCGTTTTCAAGTTCCTTGTTACTGATATTAGTGCAGTAAGTTAGAGTATGTCCCAAAACCCCATCTCATTAGGAGGCCAATATATGAGAAAAGGGTAATATACCCCAGAAGCCCATTCTAATTCTTAAGGCCCTTATACCAAACCCTTCTAGTACCCCCAATGTAGAACCAACAAAGGAATCTAAACCCTAAACCCAAATTTTGGTATCCTCCTCGACTCCCTGGCCCTGTCAAATCTTCAGACCATGCCCAAGTTGCCACAGCGCAGCCGCAAGCTCTCCCGGTTTTGCCGATTTCATCCTGCGCGTGCAAGTTCTGACGCCCGAAAGAGTGAAAGACTCAGGAAAGGATCATAGGGTTCGGCTTTAGCAGGTCTATGCTGCAGAATCCAGATAAGGGTGCTTCCTGCCGCTTTCATGTGCATGTTGCTTGGCCAGTGAGTTGCCCTTAACCTCAGGGCCCTTAGCACTTACCCAGAGGCTCCCATATCCCTTAATTAAGGAATATACCCTAAATCATATTAGGGATCCTGCTATAACTTACGGTTTATTCCTCAATTAAGGAATACACCTTACATCATATTAGGGATCCTACTATAATTTAAGGTCTATTCCTTAATTCCCTTATAGAAACCCTTATAGAACCCTTATAGATCCCTTTAAGGCCCCTATAATTTAAGGGATATTGGAGTCTCTGGGAAACTTTGATCATCGCGATGTTCTGATGGAACGCCTCCAGAACCCGCCGCGTCTGCGTCCAAGCGTCTGCAGACCACGGTTTAGAGTTTAGGGTTTAGGGTTCTGGGGCCTTCGAGTGCAGAAAGTGTGTAGATGATCGCGTTCTTTAACTGCGAACTGGTTCCAAATTGCCTGATTCACCCGCGCAATTCAGGCATGCATTGCACCTCCAGCTTCTGAGATATATTTACAGGTTGTTTCGATTTGTTACACTGCTTC